GCAATTCCACTCTTAGGCATATACCCAAAGGATAGACATTCATACAACAAGGACATCTGTTCAACTATGTTCATAGCAGCATTATTTGTAATATCCAGAACCTGGAAGCAACCTAGATGCCCCTTAACTGAATAATGGGTCAAGAAAATGTGGTACATTTACACAATGGAGTATTACTCAGCAGAAAAAAAACAATGGAATCTTGAAATTTGAAGGCAAATGGATGGAGAATGAGAAGAAACCATACTGAGTGAGGTAACCCAGTCACAAAAAGACATAGTGTGCACTCACTCATATATGGATATTAGACATAGAGCAAAGGATTACCAGCCGACGATCCACACCTCCAGAGAAGCTAGGAAACAAAGGGCCCTAAGAAAGACATGCACGGTCCCCCGGAGAAGGGGAAAGGGACAAGATCTCTTGAGCAAATTGGGAGCACAGGGGGAGGAGAGAGGGAGTTAGGAAAAAGAGAAGGGGAGAAGAGGAGGGGAGAGGAGGACATGAGGGAGCAGGAATATTGAGTAACGGGAAGAATAGAGGAGAGCAAGAAAAGAGATACCATAATAGAGGGAGCCATTATAGGTTTAAAGAGAAATCTGGCACTAGGGAAATGTCCAAAGATATACTAGGATGACCCCAACTAACAATCTAAGCAATAGGGGAAAGGCTATCTTAAACACCCTTCCCCTATAATGAGATTGATGGCTACCTTATATGCCATTATAGAGCCTTCTTCCAGTAGCTGATGGAAACAGAAGCAGACACCCACAGCTAAGCACTGAGCCAAATTCCTGGAATCCAGTTGTAGAGAGGGAGGAGTGATGAGCAAAGGGGCCAATATCATGCTGGGGAAACCCATAGAAACACCTCATGGACCCCAGACTGTCAGATTGGAAACCAGCACAGGACAAAACCAGGCCCCCTGTACTTGGGTGTCAGTTAGGAGGCCTGGGCAGTCAATGGGGCCTCTGGTAATGGAACAGCATTTATACCAAATATATGAATGGACATTGGGAGCCCACTCCTCATAGAGGGATACTCTCACAGCCTAGACACACGGGGGGGGGGGCTAGGCCCTGCCCCAAATGATGTGACTGACTTTGATGACCCCCCCCATGGAAGGCCTCACCCTTTCTATGTAGCAGAAGAGGGATGGGATGGGGGTCAGTGTGGGGCATGGGAAAATGGTAGGGAGAGGGAGCTGGGATTCATAACTAGAATAAGACTGTTTCTAATTTAAATTAAAAAAGGAAATAAAAGAAACATAACTTGGCAGCCTCAGTAACATTAGATCAAGCAGAAGAAAAAAATGACAGAGCTTGAAGAGAAATCATTTGGATTGTTAGTGTCAGAAAGAAAGAATAATTATTATATATTATGGGAGAGAATATATATATATATGGGAGAGGGACGGTGGGAGAGGGGAAGAGAGAGAGAGGGAGGGAGAGGGATGGAAAGAGAGAATGAATGCAAGAGCATTGGGATACCCTTAAAAATCAAATATTCAGATCACTGGCACACATAAAGGAGAAGAGCTAAGGTTGGAGGTATGGAAAAACCTCCTCAGTAAAATAACAGCAGAAAACTCCCCAAATTTTGGGAAAGACATGGACATCCAGGTACAAGAAGCATTTAGAACATCCAACACGCTTAACTACACAAGTATGTCGCCATGACATAGCATAGCTAAGTTGTTAAAAGTATAGGACAAAAGGATATTACAATCTGCCAGAAAGAAATGTCAAGCAATGTTTAAAGGCAAATATATTAGACTAATGGCAGGTTTCTCAGAAGGAACTCTAAATGCCACGAGGGCAGGGAATGATGTATTTCAGAACCTGAATGACAATAACTGCCAACCAAGATTGTGGTACCAGCAAGGCTGTCCTTCACAAGGGAAAAGTATGCACCTTCTGTGGTAAGGATAGATTAAGGGAACTCATAACCACTAAACCAAAATACAAAAAGATGGTTGAGGGAATCCTATACCCAGAACAGAAAGAATTCAGTAAACCCCATCATTAAGAACATGAATAAATCCCACTAGAAAAGGAGATAAACCAATGAAGAGTAAGAAGAAATACTAGAAATACTAATACAGTAAACCATCAAATTTAAAAGCAGAGAAAACAAGAACTGACACCTGGAATTACAGCCAAGTTTCTACTCAGGAACGCAGATGGCCTTCATTCTGCTGATTGGCCTCTGGAATGAAGCTGTCTGTGGTGGTTTGGATAAGAACAGCTCCAATAGGTTCAAACATTTGAATATTTGGTCTCCTGTTTGGGGAGGATTGGGAGATGTGCCTTTGTTGGAGGAGGTGTGTCACTGGCGATGGACTTGAGGTTTCAAAACACTATTCCCTGGGTGATGGATGCCTCCTGCTTATGGTTTCAGTTCTGAGCTCTCAGCTGTTTGTCAGTTACACTTTTGCTCTGCAATCATGCACTCTAACTAACACTGTAAGATCAATTAAATGCTTTCTTCTTTTGTGTTTTGGATTTTGAGTTTTGTTTTGTATTATTTTTTGAGACAGGGTTTCTTTGTGTAGCCTTGGCCGTCCTAGTAGACCAGGCTGGCCTTGAACTCAGAGATCCTCCTGCCTCTGCCTCCTGAGTACTGGGATTAAAGGTGTGTGTCACTGCCACCCTGCTAATGCTTTCTTAAGAAATAAAGTCAATGGAAGGACGTGGGGAGATGGCTCAGACTATAAGCTGCTTGTCAGGCAAGCACAAGGACCTGAGTTCATATCCTCGGCACTTATGTAAAAAGCCAGGCACCGAGTGAGGAAGGCACCTGGCATCAATGTCTGGCATCCACGGGCAAACATAGAAACATGTGCACGCATGCATGTTACACATATACACACACATGGCACAAATTACCAACCTGGACTATTAGAGCTTATCCTGGTGGGCATCTTGTCCCTGCCATTGGGTTTTCAGTTACGGAAAAATGCTCAAATGGCCACAACTGATTTCACTTGGGTAGAGGAATGGAGTAATCAAGGTCACGCAAGCAGAGAGATGTCAGAAAGACAGAAGGGTTGCTGTATATATTCTCCCAGGCTGTCTGTGTGACCTCAACCGGCTTAATGTTGTAGAGGGTGCATGGGGAAGATAAATGTGCAGCACAGGTGTGAGGTATTGGGTCAGAGTGACATACACAACAATTTATATTGACTGAAAGGCTTATACTCACATCTGACCCATGAGAGCAGTTACTGTTGACACCAAAAGGCTACTTTTTTGCTTTTTTAGGTATGCTCTATACAAGATTCTCAGAGCAGAAAGACAACAGGAAGCTACTTAGGGACAATGACATCAGTGCACAAGAGAGGACTTACTAGAAGTAAGGGAGAAACTGGATTCAGAACCAAAAGCAGCTGAGCCAGTCTCACCTGCTCCTGGGAAGCCTGGTGTATAGACAGGTGACTAACGGTAAAACGCTTTGTATCATAGAATGTCCAGGAATAAAAGGTGTGTGACATGTTCAAAAAAAAAAAAAAAGACAGTGAAATCTTGCACAGTCAAACCACAGGAAGAATGGCTCAAATGCAACAGGAAGCATTTCACAAGGCAGCCAACCACAGCACAGCCATCCGTGACTACAGCAACCAAACCCTGGGGTCTCCGCACTGAGCTGCACCTCACCGACAGGCTACCGAAGTTCATCTCCTTGTGTTCAGTCTGAGTGGGGGTAAATATGGAGTGTTATCTGGGATAGTTGGAATTACCTGGAAGGTGACTGAATCTATAATAGCTTCAAACCCAAAGACACATGGGGGACAAAAAGAAGGCAGTAGAATTATTTGATTTGACTTTTTTTTTTAAGGAATATAGGGTCTTCCTCCAGGAATCTACCTTCCTTGGACCATTGTTTCTGGATCAAATACTTGATGGGAACAACGTGGAAGAAGAGAGATAGCAGGAAGGGGCTGCCACATACCAACCTGGAACACTTGCCTGACACTACACTGTGTTTACATTTTCTTTCCATGTGAAGGACAGGGACACAGTTCTACATACCATCTGGTCACTTTCCATCTAACTACTTCCTGATGTACTGGAAACCCATTGGCCCTCTGGCTGGAGAATCTGCAGTTCCTAGGAACACAGCCTCTAAGCATGGTCCCAGAGACCTGTAGCCTTGCCTTTCAGGGTCTATACCCTTTCCAAAATTCTTCAGGTTACAGTGACATTGAGCTGCTCTGCCATCATGTTAGAAAATTAAATGCCACAAATCTCCAAAGTTATGAAAATCGTATCTCACCGGTATAGACTACAAAACTTTAGCTGGGCACCGTGTAACATGCCAATAAGCTCTTCGCTTTGTGGGAGAAAGTAGATCAAGAGGTCAAGGTTAGCCTAGACTACGTGAGAAGCTGTCTCCAAAACAAACAAAAACCAACAACATAGTCAGGCGATTGTGGCTCATACCTTTAATCCCAGCACTTGGGAGGCACAAGCAGGGGGATCTCAGTGAGTTCAAAGCCATCCTGGTCTACAAAGCCAGTTCCAGGACAGCCAGAACTGTTACACACAGAGAGAAGAAACAAACAAAAAAAACACCAAAATAGAACATTAAGGTACAAGCGTAAGTGAGTTAGTTATTGGTGATTGTCTGAAAACAAAACGCAACAAGCAAAAGCCACAAAGTTGCCTGAGTCCTTCTCCATCAGTGGGGCGAGCATGGAGTCTTTTCCAGGGCTTTTTACTTTGGTTTTACAAAGCATGTTCCAGTAAAATATCTACTTTGTCCATTATAAACCTAAGTACATCCACATGTTAGGGCTTATGTTGATGGTTATTTTTAATGTCAGGAGAGCAATGGTATGGAAATGATGATTGGGATGGGAGGGGGACAAAAGAGAGAGATGGGTGCCTCCCCCCATACTGTCCTTTGATTTCCAATTTCAAGTGAATTACCCAAGCCTTCCATTGTATAGGCTTTGCTCAGCAAGAAGGTATACCAGAAATCCCAGTGCAGATACTAACTTTCCGAGTCAAAGGGTGGCAGCTGTCTCCCACTTGGCCCATGGGTGTGCAGATCCTTATGCTCTTAACCCAGATACTGACAGCGCAGCACATGCCTCCTCCACACTGTGAGTCCTTGTCGCAAGCCTGAAACAAAACAAACCGACAGATAAATATAGATAGTGGGAAAGGCTCAGGCTGGGGAACTCTAAAATTAACAGGGAAAATCCTCTTTAAATATCCAAATGCTCAGCCAGTCAAGTACTTGCCACACAAACACGAGGACACAAGTTCAATACTCAGAACCCACAAGAAAAGCCAGACATGGTGGCTTGTGCTTGCAATCCCGGCTCTGGGAAGATGGAGGCAGGCCAGTCCTTGGCACTTGGTGGCCAAACAGTCTAGCCAAATTGGGACATTCTAAGCCATGTGAGAAACCATGTTTCAAAAAAAAAGTGGATAGCACCTGAAGACAACATCTGTGCTTAATGTCTGTCTTCCACACATATGTCCATATACTTGCAGGTGAATGCCTCACCTAACTTGTGTACCTAAATACACATAAAAGTATCCTAATGTAGTGATATTTTTTAATAAAATAGAATCATAAGCTCCATTTGCTCATACACACCTACAATCAACATTGATCAGAATGTTCCCATGGACTAAAGAGCTCCTGTATGATGAGACCCAGTATTAAGAAGGAAGAAGGATGGGAGTGGGAACAACACTTGGGCTCTCTTCTGGTGCTTTATGGCTGAACTTGAATAAGTTTGTGCTAGCCCTGCCCTACACATGGCCCTACAGAACTACACAAATCAAATCACAAGACTATTAGCTGCTGAATACATAGTTTTAAAAAAGATGGAGATAAGTCTCTAAATCTGGCACAAACCACTGCAGACCTGTGAAGGCACCGATGTAACATTAAAAGTGCTCATTTTCTCTTTCGGATTTTTACCCTGTGCTTTGTGAGACTGGATGCTTCTTGCATGGGTACTCTGATTTTCACCATTTCCTCTTTCAAACTGAACTCTCCAAGGGTGGAAAGAGACAGACCAAGACTTTGCCCCATCCCACTAGTCTTTCCTGTGAATGACATGCAGAAAGGAATGGACTGGCTTTGGATCCACAGATGTGTACATTAGAAACTCAGTCAAACTAGCCACAAAGGTAGCAAGTGAGGACAGGCACAGAACAGTACAGATGCAATTATCAGCAGTAGTTCCTCAAACTACACACCTGATACAAGTATTTATAGTGAAAGAATCAATGTGGAGGATTTGCCCATGAGGTGGCATATAAATGAAGCCCAAATATATTTGCATGAAAATGTATCTTAAGAATTATGGCTCTTTCTTAGAACCAACAGCAACAAAAGGGATGCTTTGTTTTAGCAATGTCTAGTAATCTGTTGTTCAAAATAAGTAGTGGCTTCAAAACACAACTTTAACTTTGGGTGGCTTTTCTTCTTTTTTTATGGATGATGTTTAAACATTCCCACCTTTTAATTTTTGTCTGGACACTAGAAATCATGCAAACATGACCATCATAGTCCTTAAATTGCTAGGTCAACAGTCTTCTGCAATATGGTTTTAATACACTTATGTGAAGATATCAAGTTCAAAGACTGTGCATGTGTGTGTACAATTTGGTGTGTATATGTGTGTGTGTACATGCATGTGTGTAATAAAAACTTAAGGTGGGTGTTTCAACCAGCATTTTAACAGATGTACAGAACTCTAACTTCTGAAGCTCCAGCAGCTCTAAGACCATAAAAAAGTCAGACACAATCTTTTAAAATTCAATCAATCACTGAGATGCTTATCACCCTGTACACACTATATCTAGATAAATCACTGACTTTTTTCATTTGAATCCAGATGGTTTCTGTCAGTGGGACCTAACTATGCTTTATTGCCATGTTGCTTTAGAGAAAAACATTGAATTAACAACAAAAAACAAGGGTCCACATGACTGTATCACCATCACCCTCCAGTCCCACTAGCATGTAAACATGAAATGAGATAAAATTTTATTTCATAACAAAAAGCTTCAGTTGTTGGAAATTTACAGGGAATTGCATAAGTTTATATCTTTTTAATTAGACAGCTGTTTCCTAGTACCCTTTATTCTTCTTAACCCATTGCAGAGCTGTGCAAACAGTGTCCTCCTGTGAGTGGAACAAAACGACACTTGCACTGCCCAGGAACCTTGGGGCTTAGAGGATTAGGAAACACTTAGAAGGAACCAGCAGGGGAAGGAGGAAAAAAACCCACCCAATCATGTTTCCATTCGCATGTGTTACAAAGACACTGTAGAAACTTTTGTTCACCCACACCAACTGGCTACTGATGGAGCTATATAAGTGGTTTTAAGAATCTCTGCTCTAATAAATACCACAAGGCATAAAATCAGATATTTATGGGGCATAACTCAATGCTGTCGTGGCCCCAGAGCTTTCAGAACGCAATCTGTACACTAAGAAACACAGAGAACATCAGTCTTCAGTTATTCACCGTGATGACCCTTCTTTGAAATGGCATGCTATTTTACTACCTGTATGTCATCGTTCCAAACACATCTATATTAAAATCCAACATACAAAAGTGATTTAAATAAATAAATCCACTGAAAAATATGCTAGCAGCTTTTTTTTTTTCTTTCTTTAATGAGTAAAACGCCAACAGCCAAGGTTCTGCTGGGCTATTTAGACAGACTTCTGAAATGCTGTACCGAGAACTCATTCTTCAGATAGACAAAATGAAAACTCACAAGTCGAGAGAGTTGAAGGAATGGGCTATTTCTAAACGTGATGAAGACGCTCTCTGTGATTTTAAAAAACGTCTAGTGACAGTCTGCACCGTCGCTGAGCCTTAGGAGTGAGGTATCAGGAATCCAACTTGACAATTTATGTATGTAAAAAGAACTTCACGATGAAGAAGGGGGGGGCGGGCGGAGAGTAATATAAACATAAAGAGCAGCTGCCCCAGAACCGGGTGAGAAGAGCCCACAGTTGCTTTCCAAAGCTCACATATGGCCACGACCCAAGGCACTTCCCAGGGTAAGGGCTGTGGAATTTGAGGTGTATGGCTTGCTCTTTTCCAGTTTAAGAAAGGGTGGTCAGATTTGGGGGTGAAGGTTTCCAGCTCCTGGAAAAGAACTTTCTCACCAGGGAAGAAACTTTTTTGAGCTACTAAATAGCACAGCAGACCAAACCCAAGGAGTGCAGGAGGGAGAGAGGTGGGGAAGGCGTTGCTGAGGCAGTTTAATTCCACAGTGTGCCTGGCTGTTCCCCGCCTTGTGAGCAGGACATGTTCCTAAGTGGCCAAAGGGTGGTCCAGGAGAATGTCTCACCGGGCACACCCTTCCCGGTTCTTACACACCCCAGGCCTGGTGTCCCCGGGTGAACGGGTCGCGACAGGTGCTCAGACAGCTTACCCCGGTGATGACCGCAGCATCCCCGGCGGGGGGGGTGAGAAGCGGAGGAGAGAGGCGACCCCCCCGGCCCCCCCGCGCACCCCCCCCCGTGCCCCGCGCCCCACCCGCCCAGGCGCCACGCGGGCAGAGCCCCCCGCGGGGCGCCGCAGCCCTAGCCAGCCTTCCTGTTGCTTTTGTAGTCCCAGAAAGCCTCCTCCTTCGCTGTCCTGCTTTCCAGAGCTCCACGTGCTCAGCCCCCACATTCTCAGAAGTACATCATTTGCTATACAGATGTGCAGAGGGTGCCCACGACGTGCCGGGCGCGGCGGGCACAACTGCCCTGTATTTGTACACATTTGTTCAGCATGTCTACAGTGAGCGCTCCATGCGTGCCAGGTACTGCCGCTGGCCCTGTCCTGCGGTGGCACAACTTAGAAAAGACAACAAACAAACAAACAAACAAAAAAGCAAAGGCGGAAGGGTGTTTAGCAGGTTGGAAGAACAAAGCACACCCCAATCTCACATCCCTTGCAAAGTGGAGGGCCTTGGCTGCCCCTCCAGCTGTGGGAGCCTCATTTACGTTTTTTAAAATGACTTCCCCTGGTGCCCACATCTGTTCCTGACCCTCTCCGCCCTGATTTCCCTCACGCGTGCATTCCCTCTTCAGCTTCCAGCCAGCTTCAAGCAGAACAGGATGCTGCCAGGGGGAAAAAGAAAACTCCCAGCTTGTTCTGCCAGCCTGAGGCCCTGGGAAGGCGTCTCCCTCCCAGTTCTTGTCTCCAGCTCAGGAGACTCTCTTACACATGATGCCTTGGTTCAGGTCACTAACTATTGTGTGCTACTGGTGGACTCTTGTCCATGAGACAAGAGACAACTTTGCCCTCTCTGTGTCCCTAGCGTGGCTCCAATAATCTCAGCTTACTTGCTTCTACAAGGATGATCAAATTGACTTGTTCTAGCTGGGCAGTGGTAGCACATCACTCAGTACTCAGGAGGCAGAGGCAGGCAGATCTCTGTGGGTTCAAGGTCAGCCTGGTCAAAAAACGAGTTCCAGGACAGTCAGGACTGTTACTTACCTTACTCCTGGAAGATTTGGGACCTCAGACTTTCCCATGTCCCTTAGGACCATAGACTGCTGAAAGACAGATGGACCTTTTCAGCCTCTTTAATCAATACAGTAAGGAGAGCTGGGCCAGTTACTTTCAGACTGTGGGCTCCCCCATGCCAAAGCATTCAGACGAAATGTAGAGGGGAAAAAAAATGAACAAAGGGCCCGGGAATTATTTGAATGTTAAACAGCTGGGTATTTCAAACCCCAGATCTTTGGCTGAGTTTTAAAGCCTTTTGTACCCATGTTTTCGAGTTCAAGAGGCATCCTGAGAGCAAAAACACAAACGGGATCAAACTCATTTTTAACTTTGAGAAAACTGTTAAAAGTGGATTCACAGTAAAATAAGTGGAAACAGTAGCAAGTGACAGACTGGTGGAAAGTTTCCTTTTCCAGTCTCCATGCCAACCAAGGCATGGGAGTGCAGCCCAGGGGAAATGTTTTTGGTTTTTCGAGACAGGGTTTCTCTGTGTAGCTTTGGAGCCTATCCTGGCACTCGCTCTGGAGACCAGGCTGGCCTCGAACTCACAGAGATCCACCTGCCTCTGCCTCCCGAGTGCTGGGATTAAAGGTATGCGCCACCAACGCCCAGCTTGTGACTGGCTTCTTACAGGACTGTTTGCAAAAGCCGTCTTCTAAGACTGTTAAATCAAGGTTGGAAATACTTCAAAATATTGGTTGGTTTGGGGCTCTTGTTTTCCTGTGCTGAGTTTAGAACCAAGGCACGAACACCCTGGGGAGGTCTCTACCACTAGGCTACACCCTGAACCTCTTTGGAGACCTTTTGATGGTTTTAATACTTGTGAGAAGAAATGAAAACTCTTAACACAGCTTCTTTGGACCCACAGGCAAGTTATCAGATCAAGTCTGATTACAATTCTTAGAAATGGAAGGATGCAATTTGGATTAACTCCCCAAAATAAAGCAGTGACGAAGCAACAATAAAATTGAAGTTCTGTTTTGTTACTGCGACCTTTGGTGTGATCAGTCATACAGCCAAATTAGCCAGGAACAACTGCTGGAATGAGGTCTAAAACTTGCCTGTTTAGAATATAGACTTGCACCCTAGCAGGCCACCACTTCCGGACTGATTTGACAGTATGATACAAGAGTGTCCAAAGAACTCCTTGTTTGAGAGTTAGAGTGATCTGGATTAGCAACTAGACTAGCCTTCAGCCCCTTAAAGTTTGACTCCTATGAGGTGAGTATAAAATATCAACTTCCTGGGGTCTGGCCTCCATGGAGCTCAAAGGGAACACCTGTAAAGTGCTATGCACCATATCTGGGATAGACTGGGAGGCATGCAAAGGTGACCTCTCATTAAGTCTTAGAGTGTGCTCTCCCTTGACAGGCTCATTGAACAGGGATATAGCTATTTTCTGTCCGGCCCACCTAATTAGATCACATGCACTTGCTGGCTAGGAGCCCACTTCCCTGAAAATCCTTCTTGCACATGGCATCAGCCGACACTTGAAAAATGGCTGATGAGCAACAGGAGTAGATCCTGTGATCAGGCACAGAGGTGGGTTACTAGTAAATGGTGCACAGTGCAGATGGGCCTCATCTATACGGACCTTGAATGCAGTCAGCAAAAGCCGGGAGGGAAAGAGACCTGGGGTGACCCTGGAGAAGTATACTGTCCTATAGCTGTCACACATTTGACCTACCACAGTCACTCTGGGCCCTCAGCTGAGGGAGACTTTATTTGAGCTGATGTATGGGGTTATAGTAAGTATCACCTAAAAAGTTATGTCAAAATTCTAGACCTGGGTACCTGTGACTTTATTTGGAAGTAGGAGCTTTGCAGATACAATCAACCAAACTTGAAGGAATATTGAGTGTCCTAAATCCAAGGACTAATATATCTTTGTTTAAAAAAAAAAAGTGGTGTGTGTACGTGCTTGCATTTGTGTATGTGTGGGCCCATGTACACACAGCATGTGTGCATGTCAGAAGACAACCTTAATTACCAACACCAGGTGGCTTCTACCTTTTGTTTGGGACAGGAACCCTCACTAGACTGGAGCTTTTCCTCACATAGGTCACATTAGCTGCCCTGTGAGTTTCCCGGACTCTGTCTGCCTCAGCTTCCCATTTTACCACGGTTGGGATTACAGACTCATGTCACCACACCTGGCTTTTTACATGGGTTCTGGAAACTGACCTCAGGACATCACGCTTGTGAGGCAAGCACTCTGCTGAGTGTGCTCTCTCCCTGGCTTTTTATAATAGAAAGGAGATATTGGACACAGAGACTGATGTGACACATGTCAGCCCTGCTCCCTGATAGCCAGCTCCAGAACCCCAAAGAGTCAGGAAGAGCATTTTCCCAGAAAGCTTCACAAGGAGAAGGCCCAGTTGACACCTTGATTTTGAACTTCTAACCTCCAGAATTAAAAGAAAATGACTTTTGCTGTATGAAGACACCCAGTTCTGCTCACTTATCTCAGCACCTCTGGGAAACTAGCAGGGTGGGTGGGGCAGGATGGTTGCACATCAGCTTTCTTCTGCCTCTGCCTGGAACTCAAACCTGACTGTGTGGTGACTGAAACAGGTCACATGACAGTTCACCTTGCTAAGGACAACAGTGCCACTGAGGTTTGTGCTGAGCGCCAGAAACCTGGTGAGCAGTGCCAGAGTCTACAGGGAATGTGTTCATTGGTGGCCTGGACCCCTTAATGAGTTCAGTGCACTTTGACTGGTCCTAGTAATCCCACTACAAAAGATCATGGTTTTTTATATATTTTTTTCCATGTTCAGCTCTTTAAGTGACACAGTGTGAAAGAGTACAAACGTGCAAGCTGGGAGGGTTTTGTTTTAAGTGGGCAGTAAACCGTCATTCATTCACTCACCCAACAGGTACTTACTAAGCACAAACTAGAGACTAAGTATTGAGTAAAGCACTTGGAGACAGAATTATGTCATCCTGAGAGCAGTCATCACCCCATCTCCGGATGGGAGAGAAGCACAGAAACCTTGTTGGCAGTCAAGAGAAGGAGGTACAGGAATGCAGTGAGTAGGAAGGAAGAAGGAAACTCAAGATTTAGTGTGTGAACTGGCTGACAGGAGGGAGGCTGGCATTCACATGGGTGTGTGTGGGCAGAGGCAGTCAGACTGGCAGGGTGAGGGGAGCGGCTTCGTTAAAAACAGAAACCGCTAACCAGCACTTTGCTGGACTTTTAAAAATTCCCATTCCATATAATGTGGTCACAATGACGAAGATTTAGGTAGAAAACTTGGAAAATTGTGATTCTCTCTCTCTCTCTCTCTCTCTCTCTCTCTCTTTCTCTCTCTCTCTCTCTCTCTCTTTTGTGCATGTGGGGGGGGGTGTGTGTGGTGTGTGTGTGTGTGTGTGTGTGTGTGTGTGTGTGTGTGTGTGTGTGTGTGTGCGTGCGCGCGCGCGCGCATATGTGTTTATTTTTACCAGGACCCAGCCATGCCAGTTTCTGCATTGCCTGTGAGTGCTTTTTACTGAGTACTTTTGAGACCATATGACCCGAAAAGCCAAATAATATTTACTCTGTACTCACAAGAGAAAGCTTGCCAACCTCAGGTTTCGTGAGTGTGTGTGTGCATAGGGGGTGTTGGGGATGCACATGTGTGTGCGCCTGTGCATGTGGAGGGCAGAGGGCAGCCTCAGCTGTCATCCCTCAGGCACCTCCCACCTTGTTTTGGGGGATAGGGTCTCCCACTAGGCCTGGGACTCACTATGTAAGCTAGGCCGGTTGGCCAGTGAGTCCCAGAGATCTGCCTGTGCTGGGATCTGCTATGTACATACACTGCAATGATACGTGCCTACAGCCCACCAGTCTGATTTGGCTTTACGTGGGTTCCAGTGAGCAAACTCAGCTCACTGTGCTATGACTGAGCTATTTCCCCAGCTCTGCTGTCTCTGGGTTTATGTGTTAAAGAAGAGCCTAGAGGACTGGAGTAATGGCTCAGCCACTAAAGGCTAGGCTCTTGTTTAGGATAAATAAATAAATAAATAAATAAATAAATAAATAAATAAAGGATCCTAGAGTTTCTGTACTGTCTCTTACTGCACTTTCGCCAGCATCTCCTTTGCTGATCCTCATGTGGGATATACTTTAGGGGCCCCCCACTTACTAGTATAACCCACCTTCTTTCTAACATTTGGGATATTGCTCAAAGTTTGTCTTATAGATTGGTATCTTGAATATTAACCTTACGATAACTGATTTTGATGATCTGGCACACAGTAGGTGCTTAATCAATATTGATGGAGTTTGAAAGAACAAGAAATGCTTGCCCTGTTCTCCATCTTGAACTGAAAGCCTCAGGCATTTCTCCACCACAGAAGAAGAGAACTTCCAGATTCTTCCTCACACAGCTCTGTCATCTAAAGTGATGGTGTCTTCACTGAGGACTTAGTTTGTATGTGTCCTTTTCTTATGGCTTATTATGATAGCATAATAGGTGGGCCTGATAATTTCACCACTGGGCTTTATTTGTCTCTGTGTAAATGGCTTTTCATTTAGATCTGTTCCAAAAATAAAATGGATATACTCCTTTATGCTTTGCCTTTATCCTTTATCGAGAAACTATTCCGCATGGCTCCTCTTGTTAAACCCATAATATCATCCTGCTATCTTTCTAAAATAATAACCGTGTTTTAAATGTGACAGGAAAAAGGAATGGCTTTTATAATTCTAAATAAGACGTCTATTTTAATCTAGTTCAATGCTGACGATTTTCTCTTTATTTTAAAAAATAAATCACCACGATTCAATTTGAAAGCCAATTGTCTCGGGAGGCACTAAAAATCATTTGTTCCATTCAAGTGGTAATGTACAGTAAAGTTTATCTATTTTTAAATAGTTGAAATATTAATTCAGGAGAATGAGTTTTCTTAAAACAATTAGTACACAATGACTTTGAGATAATATGAAGGGTCACTGAGGAACATTCAGCTCAAAAAGATTTAGGTGTATTCATTATAATGCTGGCTCTTCTCTATCAGGCTTTTTTTTTTTTTTTCTATTGAAGATGGGCCTGAAGGCAAAAGCCTGTGCAGCATGGATTTCAGTCTTCATTCAAGGAAAGAGATTATTATGCAAATATGTGGCATATTTGGTAACTTTCCAGACAGAAAAAGAAGTCTCACATAAGAAAGGGATTTTCTTAAGATTAAAAACCATGACTAGGTAATCACTTTATCATCCTTTCAGGTCAACATGAACTAGCTATCACACTGAAATAAACCTCATTTATAATCTTTAAAGATGGAGAGGACCTCCAAGAAGTAATGAGACATAAATATTCAGGAAATAATAGGCACAAAACTTTTAGAGCCAGGTGTGGTGGCTCGTGTCTCTAACCCTAGCAATTAGGAGGCTGAGATTGAAGGCTTGCCAGCGAACTGGGCTTCATAGTAAAACCCTGTCTCAGGTTTGTTCTTTTCTTTCTTTCCTTTTTTGGACACAAACCAATTGCAGTATCTTTACTTCTAAAGTACAAAGACATCCCCTATGCTTTGCATACAATAAGCACTTAGTACATTTCCGTACTTCTTCTATAACACCCCAGGGACCCTCCGGGTAGTTCTTGAATGCTTGTTACAAAAGAACAAAGTGGGAAAGATCAGCCATGTTGTTTTGAGCCAGGATAACTGCTAAGGAAAGAAGCCAAATCTAAACCTAATGTGGTCTGATGCCAAGCATCTATTGCAGTTTCTCCTCAAATTTCTAACACTGCCATAAAGCCTAAGGTGGTCAGTACGTTGAAGTAAGAAACAGCAGTATGGTGTGAATGTCCCATACACTCCATCTTCAAACTTGTCTCCACAAATCTAAGAGCCAGTTGCTCACGTTTTAGATGTTCTGAGCCTCATATGTGACTTGCTGTAGAACAGTACTTCAGAGCCCTGGCCAATGATCCATGGCCATCCTGATTTCCTGGTGCTCTCGAGCACACCCTCACCCCGTCTCCTTTCTTGTATCTGTCTGTTGAATAGAACTAATAGACTCCATCATAACAGCTGGAGGTGGAGGAGTAGGGAGACGGGGAGGAGCCTAGAGATGTGTTGATTGGGGTGTTAGGAGCAAAACAGTTTTTCTTGCTGCATGGGTGGGGTACCAGTCATACGCAGGGAACTCACAGTCTTCCTCAGAGCTTATGAAATGCCACACATCCTACTCGGTATCCACTGGCTATAGTCAACAGTTACTTAAAATGGACTCACTGTCAATCTGGTTTGTCAATGGATCTTTTATGCATCCAGTTTGTGGAAATGAATACATTTCGGATTTTTATGTTTTTAGTGGAATGTGTAAGTTTTTAATAAGAATTCTATCCAATAAAAGTCTTTCTGCTTTCTCTTCTCTCTCTTCTCTCTCTCTCTCTCTTCTCTCTTTCTCTCTCTCTCTCCCCTGTTGGTGGGAGAGGTACCATGAAGGAGGACATAAGGTAAATGAATCCAGCAGAGAGGGACTGGCTTGTTGTACCTGCCTGAGGGTACAGGGCAGGTGCTGCTAGAACAAGAGA